TATAATAAAAAAAAATTAATTATACCATCTATATATAAATATTTTATATATTTATATAACAGGTTTAGTAATAGTATATATATATTTATATACTTATAAAATATATTATCATATCCTACGAAGTGGAAATGAAAATAAATAAAAACTTAAATAAGTTATAATTTTCCACCTTCCATCTATATGGGAGTGGGATGATACCCCTTTAGGGGCATACCCCTCCACTCTTAGAGAGAGGGGATTTACATTATAAATAAAATTATTTATAATTTAACAATAAGTATTCTAGCTATTAATAATCTTAATATATTAGGTAAAATTAAAGTAGATATAAAGAATAATAATAAAGCAATAGCTAAAATACCAAAAGTTAATAAATTAAGAAAGTAAAAAGGTACTAATTGTGGCATAAAAATATATAAAAATAATAAATGATAAAATAAAAATATATAAAAATATATAAATATAAAAAATATAAAAACCAATCAGATTGAAGGGACTTGAACCCCCATAGCCCTACACCCAATGTAGATACGTTACCAATTACGCAACAATCTGTAGTAAACCGAGATAATGAGAATATTAGAATCAAAAAGGGAAATAAATAAAGTCCAAGATAAATAAAATAACTCGAGATCAAATAGAACATTGAGGGAATTGAACCCTAAGAAACTAATTTGCAATCAGTACATTCAACCATGAATAACAATGTTCAGAATATGACAAGCGTGGATCGAACACGCAAGATAGCATTGGAAGTGCTAGGGTTTACCAGTTAACCTATTGTCACAAAATAACCACAGCGGGAATTGAACCCGCATATATACTGTGAAGTAGTAGTATCATACCATTAGATCATGTGGTCTTAAATAAAATATAATGTCGTATTGAGGAATCGAACCCCACACCTTCCGATTACAAAACGGACGCTGTGCCTGGTCAGCTTATACGACTTTATCCTTGCCTAAGATAGGATTTGAACCTATATTAGATGCATATGAGGCATCTGTTCTAACCTTTAAACTACCTAAGCATGGATAACTACTGAGACTTGAACTCAGATATATCGCGCCACATGCGAGTGTTCTACCTTTGAACTATAGCTACCTTTTGAGGAGGGACTGAATCGAACAGTCGCAGCACTACGGCACTAAAGTTACAATTTAGGTCTAATTACCAACATTAGAACCTCCCCTTTATTATTAACCATCAAATACCTTTTGATGTTAATATATATATATATTTTATTACGGTTAGTAGGAGTCGAACCTACACGGTCTAAGCCTGGACATCTTAAGTGTCCTATGTCTACCATTTCATCATAACCGCTTACCTTAAATATATATATATTTATATATATAACACCTCACAAGGAGGTGTCATCCCCCATAAGGGTAGGATAACTATGAATAAATTTTTATAATATTAAAATTATTTATTATATAAACGTGTTATTAAAGGTTTAACAATAGGTGTAAAACGTCTTTCAAGATTTAAAGCACCTAAATTTATTTCATAAACAAATGCAATAACAAGAGATAATAAGAATATTATTAATATAGATAAACCATATAAACCATTAGAATAAGCACTAACAACATATGGTAATATAGAAGATATTTCTAAATCAAATGGTAAGAAAAGTATAGCAACTAAAATGAAAGCTACACTAAAAGCAGATCTAGATTGTTGATATGAAGTAAAACCACATTCAAAAGGACCATTTTTTTCACTATATGAATTATTTATAGATATTAAATAATTTAATACTATAAAAAATAAAGCTAATATAGGGGCTAAATATAAATAAATTTTAAACATTTTATATAGTTATTAAATATAACCCTTCTGATATAGCTGGTAAATGTCCTTCCATCCGAATTCAACGGAGTTGGATCCCCACCATCATTCTCTTAGTGATACTGCTTGAGCTCGGTTGAGGTACGGCACTTGCGGAAGATCGGATTCTTCGAGTTTGGGTTTCGTCCATGACTTGCGCCATATTGGAGCTGTCTGCAATCAGTAGATGACAACATGAGTCTGGCCCGTACGCTTCGTAATCATCGTTCTTCAAAGGGACTTACGTAGCCTGCAAATGTCAAGTCCAGTACTCCGCACCCATCATAATCCAACACATTCGCTTCCGGCTCCTTTCCGCCGCCATCTTCACCAGCAAGCCACAACCTTACCTCATCCGTCACTTCCTCCTCGGTCGCTTGTAGACCTGATCCAAGCTGCATCGGTGGAACCGGATGGTAGAGTTTTGGACCGCGCCGCATGTTCCCAGCAGAGAAGAAGCCGCCGACGTTGAGCAGTACGGCGAAAATGACTAGGAGCTTGTGTAGTGGGAGACGGGATGATGATTGGGAGAGCAGATTGCAGCCGTACAATCGGACGAGCGAAAGTACGATGGACGACAGAGTGAGGAGAACGTTCACGATGCAGATGCTCCGATGAGACGGAACCAGTCCACCACCTCGCTTGCTGTCGTCGTTCAGGCTGATGGATGGTGCAAAAAGCAACGAGACCGATAAAGAGAGAAGGCTAGCGCTCTGTGATGGCAATACGCACGGTCATAAGTGAATGTAAGTATGGGTATTTATTGCAATGTATACAACTAACCTGAAATCCAAGTTCCAAATATGTCCAAACTGCTCGCTCCCTGTCGAACCCCGGGAAATATGGCAGCGGAATTGGACGGTGCGTTCGATGCACCCGCCAAAGAGGCAGGATATAGCAGTCAAAGCTTTGCATTTCCTGACATTCCATTCGAGGGTTTGAAGGTCCACTGGGATATCGATTGTATCGGTTCCGCGGTTGTGTGATAGGATATGGGGACGAGGTGAGGTTGTCCCACTGTGGTATCCCATAGAAGACGGATGGCCCCCTTCTTCGGCCATGATACTCATTGTGTGATCAAGGAAGGTTTGGAGGCGAGCAGTCAGGTGCCCCGGAAGGCTGGGAATAGACCTGCAACAGGTGCGTTGAAGGTTTATAGCTTTTTATCAGGTTCAAGTACCAGCTATCAGGATTCAGGATTTGCAGCTGGACTTACCCATCTCAGCCATCCCCCTTATGTTGAGAGCCTTTGGCGATCTCGTCTCTGCAAATGACTGGATGACTGGGAACAAAGGAGAATCAGAGGTATTTCCATCACATTGTTTGAAAGGAGTACATACTACAACCGACCACTTCTGCCTTGCTGTGCCAACCAGTATTTCATTGTTTCGCTGCGGTGCGCGCTCAGCTCGCAAGTAGGAGGATTGTTGTTTAGGGGACCGTTCCGGTTCCAGTCGTCGGTGTAGCCAAGTTGTCCGAAGATAAACTAGAAAGCTTGAGAAGAAGGGGCTACTACAAAAGAGATGATATCATTCACTGATCACGATGATGATCGATGCTATTGATTTCAGATCTTCAGGAAGACAAAGTAAATAAAAACCGGGCGCAACAAAGTAAACAATAAGTGCCTAGCAGAGCTGGCAGAAAGAGGCGGAAGAGAGGAGACAGCAAAACGAGATCCATTGGGTTTATGGAGGTTGCCCTGTAACAACTCTTACAACGTCCTATCCTGCTTCCTCACCCACCAAGGATCGCTTGGAACAGGAAACATCTCCACGTACCCACGATGCCAAGACTGGAGAAAGTCATACGATGACGGTGCAGCGGCCTACAAGGCAAAGGACTTCCACAAGGCAATACGACTGCTGAATGAGGTACGGGCACAATGTCTTGCCAGCGTGATCCACAAAAGATGCTAATCATCTCGAATCAACGCAGTCACTAAACTCGGGCGGAAAGCGACTCTGCGTTCTGGACGCACGCGCTGCAGCATTTGAAAAACTGAAAGACTACGAGAAAGCAATGAAGGATTGCCGAGCCTGCATCGTGCTGGACCCTAAATCGAACAAACCCTACTTTCGAGCAGCACGAATATGCGAAATCCAGGGATCGCGGGAAAAAACGTTGAGATTCCTCGAACACGGCATTCAAGCCACCCCGCCTGCCCAAGCCAAGCCTTACCTCGAAAAACTGGCGGCACTACAGAAAGCCGTCGAACGATCCCAACCGCAAACAACCGGAATCGAACCCGATCAGCAGATTGCCTCCCGAAGAACTGTTGGCGCACATGTTCGAGATGGCAATCGAAGATGGACATCCAGATATGCCTATCCGGTTATCTTGGGTATCCCATAACTGGAGGGAAATGACGACGAATTGCCCTTTCCTGTGGAGAAGGGATATCCTTGAATGGAACGAATTACAGCCAGTGTATGAAGCGATTACGAGTCTTTGGCCAGCGGGGTCGAGGCAAGTTGAGTCATATCCGTGTCGACCCTCTACCGCAAAAGGCTATCTCCGAGTTTGCGGAATACGCTGCGACCTTATCTGCGACATGCTCAGACGAATAAAGTACGGAGCGGTCTCTATCGACAATGTTCAACAGTTCACCGAGGAGCTGCAGGGCGCATGCCATCACTTGCAACTTCTATGGGTCTACGCCAAATCAACCACGCTTTACGAACGAGACGTGCCACCCTTGTCGCGAAAACTACATCTAGGTCTATCAGCCACAGGCACAGAATCGAAACTATGCAGTATCAGCTCGGAGGGGCTCCCGCTTGGCCGTGTGAGCAGCATCGACTGGCAGCGCAGGACCGATCTACGACAATCTGGAAACTCTCATCCTGGACCACTGCAAGATTGAACCCTCGGTGGTCGCGACGGAAGGGGACGAATGCACCAGACACCGCAAGACATCGTCCACTCGACATGTGATCATGCCAAGTAACCTCCGACATCTAGAAGGTTCGAATCAGGTGGAGGCTGGAGATCGATGCCGAGTATGTCAGACCGCTCTGCCGCCTCCATTCTGTCTAGGGACAGCATGTAGGGGATATGCCCCTGACATTGAAGGCGCATAAGGATTCATCGCCGGAGCGGCACCGGAGCCGTTGTTAGGATACGGCATAGTATTAGGCGGTATTGAGTGAACCATATTAGCTTGAGGGTAGAAATTCGGTGCGGGCTGGGAGTAGGGATTGGTGTTTCGCATGGGGAAAGACTGAGGAGGAAGCTGTGTAGGAGGTTGCTGTATGTGTGGTCGGGGCTGCTGCATACTTGCTAAAACGGAGTTGTTGATCATATGCGCCTGAATATTGGCCTGCGCTTGTTGGACGCGCTCGATTTCCCTCGTGCGTTCCTTGGCTTCGGCTTCTTCCTGCTGATCGCGACGCTCTTTGCTGGCTTTCAGATGAGCAACTCTGTGAAAGCGATGGAAATAAATCAGCCGATTGAAGAACACCCAAGTTGTGCTTTGATCAGGATACTGACTCTGACCGCGGCAGAGGTCCCGGGGCCACCCAGAAGTACCGGTCATTCAGGGCATCTGCAGCTGAAATCCGTTTGGCGGGATTGACTTGCAAGAACTTGTCGAGAAGTTCCTTGAACTCAGCTTTCGCGCTTGATGAATGACATGTGAGCTTGAGGTAACACACAAAGATCCGGAGGTACAGTACCTACTGCTGGTATCTCGAGTCGTCCCTGATTACTCGTTTCCTCACTGGAGAAGCCATTTCGGCTACAGGAATGGTTTTCCTGCTGTCTGTTCCTTGGTTGTCATTGATCACTTCCTTGTGCACCAGCGATGTCTGGTATCGAACGTAATCTTGCTCAGGAGTCCCGCACATATCAAAAATGAGCTTGAGCTGATCAGGATCGCTCCTGCCCATGAACAAGACACGCCGCGTCCACATCTCGCTAAATATGCACCTGGTAGAGGAGAAAGACAGT